CCGGCAGCACTGGGAGGATCTGTGGGTCGGGAAAGGGGGCCGGCCGCACCGGGGGGATCTGTGCGTCGGGGAGGGGGCCGGCAGCACTGGGAGGATCTGTGGGTCGGGAAAGGGGGCCGGCCGCACCGGGGGGATCTGTGCGTCGGGGAGGGGGCCGGCGGCTCAGGGATCTCTCCCCCCAGGTGGTGCTGGAGGAGGGGGGCTACGAGGCCATCTGCAGGGACCGGCGGTGGGCTCGTGTGGCCCAGCGTCTCGCCTACCCCTCTGGCAAGAACATCGGCTCCCTGCTGCGCTCCCACTACGAACGCATCATCTACCCCTACGAGATGTACCAGTCGGGGGCCAACCTGGTGGTGAGGGGGGCTGGGGCTGGCCTATTGGCGGGGGTGGGCAGGGCGCCTGGGTTCTCTCTTCTGGGAGGGGAGTAGGGTCTAGTGGTTAGCGAGGTGGAGGGAGGGTGGCTGGGAGCCAGGATGCCTGGGTTCTCTCCCAGGTCGGGGAGGGGAGTGGGGGCTAGTGGTTAGCGAGGGTGGGGGAGGGTGGGCGGCTGGGAGCCAGGATGCCTGGGTTCTCTCCCAGCTCTAGGAGGGGATCTGTGCCAGGCTCTGTGGTGCCAGGCCCCAGGAAAATCGCCCTGGCCGTGCCAGCATCTGGTGCCACCATCCCCCCTATGGCTGGGGGACCGATGGGGTGCTAACCCCCCGTCTCTCCAGCAGTGTGATGCCCGACCCTTCGACAGCGAGGAGAAGGACAAGGAGTACAAGCCCCACAGCATCCCCCTGCGCCAGTCCGTGCAACCCTCCAAGTTCAACAGCTATGGGCGCCGGGCCAAGCGGCTGCAGCAGGAGGTGAGTGGCCCCCCCTCTGGCCGGCCCCCCGGCCCCGCAGGTCTGGGGCAGGAGCCAGGACGCCTGGGTTCTCTGGCAGGGCAATGGGGTCCAGTTGTTAGAGCGGGGTGGGGGGCTAGGGACTCCTGGGTTCTCTTGGTACCTGTAAACTTGCAGGTGGTGTTATGACCCACTCGCCCCCACTCCTCTCCTAGAGTCAGGGGGAGAACCCAGGCGTCCTGGCTCCCAGGTTGCCCCTCCCCCCTCTAACCAGTAGGCCCCACTCCCCCCCAGAGAACCCAAGATTCCTGGCTCCCTGCTCCGCTTCTCTTTGTACCTGTTTGCCAGCAGCTGGGGGGGGTTTGTCCATCCTGGCTGCAAATTCAGGGCGACCCCTCAGTGCCCCCCCCCCAGCACATCGCTGAGGCCAGCGCCCCCCACCCCCATTTTCGTGCCCTTTTGCAGGAGTCCAAGGCCTGCCCCGAACCTGCCAGCCCCTCGCCTCTGGTAGCTGAGCAAGCGCCCGCGGCCTGGGGACCGTTCCTGGCATCTGTCCAGACGCCCTGCCTCACTCTCTCTGTGCCCCCCCCCAGCCTGAGTGGGACCGCACCTCCCAGCAGGCCCTGCTCCAGCCCAGTGCATTGTGGGATAGCTCATGCCCCCCCCCCCCGCCCCCACTGACTCTGCCCCGCCCCCGCAGCCGGAGCCCACGGAGGAGGACATCGAGAAGAACCCGGAGCTGAAGAAGCTGCAGATTTACGGGGCCGGCCCCAAGATGCTGGGCCTGGGGCTGGTGGCCAAGGACAAGACCCTGCGGAAGAAAGGTGAGGGGGGGGGCCGGCCTGGCGGCGAGGGGGGGGGGGCCCGGCCTGTGCTGACTCCTCTCCTTCCCCCCAGACAAGGAGGGCCCCGAGTGCCCCCCCACGGTGGTGGTGAAGGAGGAGCCCCCCCGGGGTGGATCCCCGGCCGGAGCCGGCGTCGCCCCGCCCCTTCCTGGAGGTGAAGGAGGAGCTGCGGCACAGCCCGGAGCCCTGCACCAAGATGACCATGCGTCTGCGCCGCAGCCACGGCAACACGCAGTTCGTAAGTGGGGGGGCGGGACCCCCGAGCTGGCCAGGCCCCTGAGGCGGGACCCCCCCGAGGCAGCCAGGACCCTGGGCCGGGCCCCTGGGCTGGGACCCCCGAGGTGATCGGGCCCTCCTGAGCCAAACGGGCCCCTGGGCTGGGACCCCTGACCTGACTGGGCTGCACCCTGACTCCTGAGCAGGCGGGGGCCCCCGAGCTGACCGGGCGTCTCTGCATCCGTGACCCTGAACGCGCCCCCTGAGCCAGCCCGTGCCTGCCCCGCAGCAGGTGGGAGCTGGTGCCCCCTGACGCCCCCCTGCCCTGCAGATCGACTCGTACGTGTGCCGGATCTGCGCCCGCGGGGACGAGGACGACAAGCTGCTGCTGTGTGACGGCTGTGACGACAACTACCACATCTTCTGCCTGCTGCCCCCCCTGCCCGAGATCCCCAAGGGAGTCTGGCGCTGCCCCAAATGCGTCATGGCGGTGAGCGGGGGGGGCTGGGCTCCTGGGGCTGATCGGGGGGGGTGGGTGGGCGGAACCGGGTTGGCTGGGCCCCCGGGGCTGCTCCTTGGGCAGGGGGGACCTGGCTGGCTGGGCCCCTGGGGCTGAGGGGCTCAGGGGGACGGCCTGGCTTCCCCAGCTGCAGGCCCTTGGCCCCGTGAGTCTCCGTGGGGGTCCCTGCCCCCCGGCCCTGACACTCCCCTCCCCTCCCCCCGGCAGGAGTGCAAGCGCCCCCCAGAGGCGTTCGGCTTCGAGCAGGCCACGCGGGAGTACACGCTGCAGAGCTTTGGGGAGATGGCAGACGCCTTCAAGGCCGACTACTTCAACATGCCCGTCCACGTGAGTGCCCCCATGGGCGCCCGGACACCAGGGTTCTCTGCTGGCTCTGGGAGGGGAGTGGGGACTGGTGGTTAGAGCAGGGGGGGGCTGGGAGCCCGGACGCCTGGGTTCTCTGCTGGTTCTGGGTGGGGAGTGGGGAACTGGTGGTTAGAGCAGGGGGGGGCTGGGAGCCCGGACGCCTGGGTTCTCTGCTGGTTCTGGGTGGGGAGTGGGGAACTGGTGGTTAGAGCAGGGGGGGGCTGGGAGCCCG